AATTATTTGAATGAAGAATCAATTTCCCCAGACTCCTATTCACTGCTTGAAGAAACAGACACAAAATATATCAGACTCAGCCAGAGCATCAAATTCACTAGGTAATTTTTCACTTTTCAGAGTCAGCAATTGATAAAGACATCAATAAAATCTTAAACTGGCATATTTCTTGGTGCTTAAGCCTCTTTGAAATGGAACACATCCCTACATACATGAATAAACTCTTTGGAACTCTCTATAAACTAGTGAAAGTTGAGCATGAAAAATGCCAATGATTGTTGTATTCTAATCTGTCTATAAAATCTAACCTTTATGTTGTGTAGTTATCTAAGGATTTTACCTCAGTATTCCCTTAATATTTTATATTCCTATATCAGGTCTGTGGTATAAGATAATTGAATAAATCCAATAATTCTTAGAAGCCACGCACAGTTTAGTCTCTTTCTAATTTCTGCAAGATAAAGTCTCACAAATGAACTGTGATGATCCAAAAAGTAAAGGCATTTTACAAAATGGCCAAGTTTAAAGTGCTTGCTTCCATCAATGTCCAAGACTTTGATTCACGGTTCAAAAAAGAACTTGATAAGTTCCTGAAGGACTGGCTATTAAATAGAATGGGCATAGATGGTGTCCTTAGAATCTGTTTGTCAGGGCTCAGAATGGACAATATATGGGATGGATCTCTTGAGGATTACCTGTTCTGCTCATTCCATTTGGGGCACCTAGAACTGTTGAAAGACAGGATCGAGGGCTAGATGGACCTTTCATAGAGTCAATTACAGGGCTTGGCTCCCATAGCAGAGTTAATGGCTAGACAATGCATTGTTACAATGTATCTCTGCAATGTCAATTTCAAGCAGCCCCTTGCACAAGCTTGAGCATGCCCTGGAGCACAGAGGGGGGGGCTGTTTCTGGCTACATAGGATTATATTTTTAACAGTTCTAAGTTATATTACCTAATACATTATTTTCTAAAGGGGGCAATAATAATAATAAATCTAAACATTTAACAATCTTAACAAATAATAATAAGTAAGAAGAATTAATAATAAATCTAAATACTTTAAGTTGTGGGGAACAAATTATGGGGAGTCACTTCCATTTGGGGGAATCACATTTTTAATACATTAATATGTTACCCCTACAAACATCCCTCTTGAGCTGTGGGCACCAGAATTGGACTGGTCTCTTTCCTAGTAGTCACGTTGATCTCTGGTGAGTTGAGATGTCTTCTGGCGTGCTTTGTTAGGTGTCGTGCCATGGTGCGTGTCACAAGTCGATGGCTGAGAAGCATTCGGCACCTCTCAAAGCGCGGGTGATAAACACATCTGTCATAGAATCATAGAACACGAGGACTGGAAGGGATCTCGAGAGGGCATCGAGTCTAGTCCCCTGCCCCATGGCAGGACCCAGCTCTGTGTAGATCAGTGGTTCCCAAGCTTTTCGGCATCACGCCCCCCTTTTGATTTTTGAGAAACCCTCCACCCTCCCTCTCCAAAAATAGCAGAAAAACTTGGGTGGCATTGACAGGTGTGTGTGTGTGGCTGGGTCGCCTCGTGCCCCCCCCCTTTTAATTTCTTCACGCTTATAATTTCTTCACGCCCCCCGGGGGACATGCCCCCCAGTTTGGGAACCCCTGGTCTAGATCATCCCTCATAGATGTCTGTCTAATCTGCTCTTAAATCTCTCCAGTGATGGAGATTCCACAACCCCCCTAGGCAATTGATTCCAGTGTTTAACTGCTCTGACAGGTAGGAAGTTTTCTCTAATGTCCAACCATTGCTTCTTGTCCTATCATCAGAGGTCAAGGACAGCAATTTCTCTCCCCCTCCTTGTGACGCCCTTTTAGAGACCAGAAAACCGCCATCATGTCCCCCCTCAGTCTTCTCTTTTCTAAACTAAACAAGCCCAGGTCTTGGCTTTTTTCTCCCCCCTCCAATTTGTTTCCTCCCCCCTCCCTCCTTCCCTTATTTATTCTTGGTTCTGGACTTCCAACACTCCGGTCATCTGACGAAGTGGGCTGTGCCCACGAAAGCTCATGATCCCGTCTCCATGTTTTGTTAGTCTTTAAAGTGCTACCAGACTATTCGTTGTTTTTTTAAGTTTTTTGAGTCATATTTAGCTTGTGGTCCACTCTGACTCCTAGATCCCTTTCTGCAGGACGCCTTCCTAGACAGTCGCTTCCCATTTTGTGTGCGTGAAATTGATTCCTTCCTAAGTGGAGCACTTTGCATTTGTCCTTATTAAATTTCAGCCTATTTATCTCAGACCATTTTTTCCAGTTTGCCCAGATCATTTTGAATTATGATCCTCTCCTCCAAAGCACCTGCAACCCATCCCAGCTTGGTATTGGCACACTTTACAAGCGTCCTCTCTATGCCAATATCTAAATCATTTTTTGAAGATATTGAACAAAACTGGCCTCAAAACTGATCCCTGTAGATCCCCACATGTTATGCCCTTCCAGCATGACTGTGAACCATTGATGATTACTCCATGGGAACGGTTGTCCAGCCAGTTATGCGCCCCCCGGCTAGGTTGTACTTCCCTAGTTTGTTAATGAGAAGACCCTGTAAGAAGAGCCTTGCTAATATATCCCAGAAAAATCCCACACTGCTTTCGGCGGCTCCCCTTGGTTGTGAACAGCAAACCGTGGCTGCAGAGCCAGTAAATAAACAAACTGGAGCAGCTTGGTACGGCTTTCTCAGAGTGGGTCCATGAACCACGTATTTACACCTTTCACCCAGCATATTCTGGTGTAAAAAGTAGTGCATTCTGCTAATTTAAGTTCCAGGCTTGTTTATGCAAAATTTGGTAGCTGTAGCTAACTGGAAAGTATGACTTTATTTTGCACAAACTCTTCAAACTATGTAGTAGTTATAATTATATACAGATGAGGCTATGGGGGTTACAGCGACGGAAACTAACAGCAGCCCCATGAGATCCCTGTCTCCTTCTCCTTCCTTCTATTCGGCTTCCATGTTCTCCTCTTCCCACTTCCTCTCTGTTCTCAGGCTCCATCTCCCTATGGCCTCCTCTTGGAAACTCTACTCAGAATCCACACCTTTGACCTTGCCTCCAACTTCCACGCTTTCCTCCTGGTCCCCTCTGTCGCACACACCACCACCAAAGCTTCCTGCCTCCCCTGTCTAATCTCAGCACACACGGCTGCTGGTGCAAGAGAGAAGTGCGCAACTTAATACCCTTGGGCTGTGTCTAGACTGGCAAGTTTTTCCACAAAAGCAGCTGCAAACTTGCCAGCTGTCTACACTGGCCTCTTGAATTTCCACAAGAACACTGACTTTGTAATGTACAAAATCAGTGCTTCTTGCAGAAATACTATGCTGCTCCCATTTGGACAAAAGTCTCTTTTGCGCAAAAGGGCCAGTGTAGACAGCTCAGATTTGTTCTGTGCAAAAAAGCCCTGCTTGCAAAAATAGCGATCGGGGCTTTTTTGCGCAAAAGCGCATTTAGATTGGCACGGACGCTTTTCTGCAAAAAGTGCTTTTGCGGAAAAGCGTCCGTGCCAATCTAGACGCTCTTTTCCGCAAATGCTTTTAACGGAAAACTTTTCCATTAAAAGCATTTGTGGAAAATCATGCCAGTCTAGACGTAGCTTTGCATTTTGCTGGCCGAGAAGCCAACATCTTGAAGTACCTGCAGCCAGTGCACCTCAGCCATTCTCTCTCTACCTGTAGCGTAGTACAGTGGTGCTCAACCTTTTTTAATTCGCGACCCCCAGGGACAGGAAAATTTTTGTTGAGCAAAAAAAGAAAAAAAAAGCACCGGGAACATTTTGTTGCAGCTGCTCTAATTTAAAACGCCGGTCTGTTCCCCTGCCATTTCCCCTGCCCTTGCTGCGTGTACGTCGAGCGCCATGGACGGCCAGCCCAGCACTGCAACCCGCCCAGGAAGGCAGCTGCGACCCCCACGGGTTGCACACCGCTGGCATAGAAGAAGCATACACCTGCACAAGGTTCATTCACGGGGCCATTGAAATCCCCCACTGTTTGGATTGGTAATAGAAATGTAGCCGTGTTAGTCTGGGGTAGCTGAAGTAAAATGCAGGACAATGTAGCACTTTAAAGACTAACAAGATGGTTTATTAGATGATGAGCTTTCGTGGGCCAGACCCACTTCCTCAGATCAAATAGTGGAAGAAAGTAGTCACAACCATATATACCAAAGGATACAATTAAAAAAATGAACAAATATGAAAAGGACAAATCACATTGCAGAATAGAAGGGGGATGCAGGGGTGGGGGAGGAAGGTAAGTATCTGTGAGTTAATGATATTAGAGGTGGGGAAAGTTAGATGTCTGTGAGCTAATGGTATTAGAGGTGATAATTGGGGAAGCTATCCTGGTAATGGGTAAGATAGTTGGGGTCTTTGTTCAATCCGCCCCCCCCCCGAGAGTGTCGAATTTTAACATGAATGACAGTTCAGAGGATTCCCTTTCAAGTACAGATGTAAAAGGTCTTTGTAGAAGAACTCAGGTGGTGAAGTCGTTGAGACAGTGCCAATCTAGACGCGCTTTTCTGCAAATGCTTGTAACGGAAAACATTTCCGTTAAAAGCATTTGAGGAAAATCATGCCAGTCTAGACGTAGCCGATGTGTCTACCCAGCAAAGTTATTTTGGAATAGCGGCCATTATTCTAAGCAGGCCTCAGAATAGCTTAGAGAGGCTGAGGGATTGGGGCTTGTTCAGTCTGCAGAAGAGAAGAGTGAGGGGGGATTTGAGAGCAGCCTGCAACTCCCTGAAGGGGGGTTCCAAAGAGGATGGAGAGAGGCTGTTCACAGTGGTGGCAGATGCAGAACAAGGAGCAATGGGCTCAAGTTGCAGTGGGGGAGGTATAGGTTGGACATTAGGAAAAACTATTTTCCTAGGTGGTTGGGGAAGCCCTGGGCTGGGTTCCCTAGGGAGGGGGTGGAATCTCCATGCCTAGAGATGTTTAAGTCTCGGCTGGACAAAGCCCTGGCTGGGCTGATTGAGTTGGATTGGTCCTGCCTTGGGCAGGGGGCTGGACTTGATGACTCCTGAGGTCTCTGCCAGCTCTAGGATTCTATAGCGTGAACTTGGAAAATGAGGACACCGCTTGCGGTCCGAGCCTTGCGACCCAAATCTGGGCAAGCCAGCAGCACAAAGAGGAGCCAGCTGATGGGACAAGGAGCTTTGATCCCCAGGGACGGATGAGTTTTGCACACCAATGTCAACAAAACCCATCCCCCTGGCCAGGTACAAATCCACCCTCGGCGCACCCGATGAAGCTTGTTAGCGCTACGATTCCTGACTGCTCCTCCCCGGATCCGTGGAGACAAGGGGACCGCTCTGGGATGCGCAAGCAAGCAGGGTGTTCGTCTGGCTGCACTTCGGGCTATCCAGCCAGCTCAGAAAGCCGCATCCTCAGGCTGCGATGCTGAGCAGGGTGCTTGCGTGGCTGAAAGGTACACAGGTGGGGCAGGTAATGCACGGAGCACTCGCAGGGCGCTAGACCAGGCGGGCTGTGCAAGCTCACGGTGGTGCAACCTGAAAGAGACGCAGGTGCGGAACATCAGAACAAAAGCACGATAGTCCATTCCCCCTCAACGCCATCGTACCTTGAAGCTGAAATTGGGGACCCACATCCTAAAACCAGTCCCTTCCTCCAAGCCCTCGCAAACACACAGGGAAAAGTAGGACCATTACCCCCATTTTATGGATGGAAAATTGAGGCACAGAGACACCAACGCACTCTGTGCTAGAGCCTGGCACTCCAGAGCAATGTTCTTTCTAATGTTGTCCATCCATGCGTGGAATAAATTTTATTATGTGCACCAAGGCACGTGTGGATGTGCAATGCCAGTAGAAACACAGGCTGCCAGCTGAGGAGGATTTAAAATGAGGCATCACCACAATGTTCCCTCTATTTTTTTCCATCCATGCACGGAATACATTTTGTTATGTGCACCGAGGCATGTGCCGATGGGCACCACCCATAGACTCACATGCTGCCGGCTGTGGGTGCTCTGCTAACCAGCGGGGCAGCATTTGAATCTCTCTGGGGCAGCTGCCCAAGTTAGCTTACAGGAGGATTTAAAATGAGGCATCACCACAATGTTCCCTCTATTTTTTTCCATCCATGCACGGAATACATTTTGTTATGTGCACCGAGGCATGTGCCGATGGGCACCACCCATAGACTCACATGCTGCCGGCTGTGGGTGCTCTGCTAACCAGCGGGGCAGCATTTGAATCTCTCTGGGGCAGCTGCCCAAGTTAGCTTACAGTCCCAAGCTAGAGCCTTAACCACACAGCCACCCCCCCCCCCACGAGATGTATTTTATCCACAGTGACTTCCACACACGTAACCCTCAACTAAATCCCCTGGGAAGACCTCTGGCTTCGCGCTCAGCGGAAAAGCTTCCATTGACACTGTTAGAGCCAGGATCCGCCCCCCCTTCTCCCCGCTCATCCACAGTCTGTGGCAGGGGCACCCCTGGAGCCCGGCGTGCAGCCTGTAGCTGGAGGGCAGAGGGGAGGCCAGTCTATGGCAGGTTCTCTCTTCTGTCTGCACGCGAGGCTGATACAGAGCCGAATAAAAGCCCCAGGTCTGATCCTGGCTCACTGAAGCCCAGGAGAGCTTGGAATTTGCTTTCAGAGCACACAGGGCCGGGCCCCTCCATCCTGGACACTGTCCCCACACGCCCGAGCAAGAGCTCTGGAGAAGTGACCGCAGCATCCATCTCGACGCACGATCATCGGTCGTAGTAACCTGGACCTCTCCATCCACCTGTTGTGTGTTGTCATGGGCGTTACATCCCAGCAGCGACCCACCCAGCAGCACCAGCACCCACCATGTCTGGATTGCAGCCCCAGCGATCCGGGGCAGGACTCTTGTTTCTGGAGCCTGGGGTGCTGCAGACAGCTCTAGCTGCCCCCCGTCTCTGTGCTCCCCAGTCCTTTGCAGGCAGTCTGCCTCCCTCCCCCAGCAACAGACACGGTTCGGTGTAACAGACACACGCTAGCCGCTGGGGAGGATACCGAAAGGAACCAGAATGAAATGCAGCGACCATTGTAACACACTTGTGCAGCTTGTCCGGCGTCCCCCCTTCGAGGGGCCACCTGGAGGATAACTGCCTACTACTGCTGCCTAGAAGGGAAGTTACATCTTTAGCTCAAGTGCTTTGGTACCCTGTACGCTGAGTGCCTGGGTGGCTGCCCAGGAAAAATTCAGGTGCTGCCCAGTGGATTGGCAGAGCGCCCACAATGCCCACACCAGCAGCATGTGTTTCTATTGGTGGTGCACATCAGTGCACAGAGCAACATTTATTCCACACACGGATGGAAAAAATGAGAGGAAGCATTGACTGAAGGTCCCGCATCCAACCCTTCCTAATGTCCCAAGGAGGTGGGTAGTCATGAGTCTTTCTTACAGGATGGCTGGTTTTCAGGTCGTCCCTCTCTATGCCGGCTTGTCCCTTGCGGCGTTCAGGAGAGCCAGTCGCCGGCTTTTCTGAAGTTGCGCCACTCTCTCTCTTAACTGGACGGCAGCTGCGTTCTCCTCCAAGCACGGGCCGGATGCAGCCTTGGAAATGTCACTGTCACCTTAGAAAGTAAGAAACCCGCGTAGACTGTGTGTGAGACTCATGCAAAGAACGCTGCTGTGCATAGCTTGTCAGCCAGCCACCAAAGCTGCCTCCCACAGCGGCTAAAACCAGCAGCCGGTCACATCTCTTGGCCTGGTTTGTTCTGCTGGATCATCCCCATTATGACCGACTGGTCACAGAAATGGGACTTGACTCATCCCTCCTCAGAAACAGGCAATGGTAAGCCAGCCCAACAAATCATGGACAGATGAGGCTATTTTGCACCAGTAGCTCTCCAAACCCGCTATAACGGTGGGTCAATCTCACCCCATTTTACAGATGGCCAAAGAGAAGCAAAGTGACATGCCCAGGACTGCTCAGCACGTCGGTTGCAGAGCTGCAAAGAGACCCCAGGCGCCCTGTCGCCCAGGCCTGTGCTCGGTCTATGGCTGCCTCTGCAAGAGGCCGCTCTACATGGCGACGCTTGGCAGGGAGTCCGAAGCGGGGCTGGCTTGCAGCGAGTGCAGGCAGCGCCCTGCTCCGCAGAAGGCTGCTCTGACCTCGAAGGAGCATGAGGGGATGTGGCTGCGTGGCGTGCAGCGGGAGGGCTTACTGGGCAGGGTCTGAGAGACCCGGGGAGCCGTCCCCACCCCTGGCGTTTTCCTGAGCTCAGGGCGCAGCGGCGAGGGCTGGCCGGGAGCGGAGGAGTCCACCATCCGGCGCCGTCTCTGCAGGATGGATTCCAGCTGGCTGTCTTTGTTCCGCTGGCTGTGCCTACGCCAACTGGGCTTTCTCATTGGCCTTTTCATCGTGCCCTGAGAAGAGAAGCCAGGGGGTGGGAGCAGGCAGTTCAGACAGGGAGACACACAGTCCCGCCCCCACCTCCCCCACCGGCTGCAGGCCTCTCCGAGACTCCCTTGGGGTGAGCATCCCAAGGGGCGTGGGGGTGGATCCGCAGTGAGGTTTGCACCTAGGGCTACAGCTGGGCCAGTAACAGACTGTGGTCCGGGGGCAGGTCCGAACCAACGCAAACTCGCTAGGGGGGGAGCCAAATCGGACGTTTGGCTAGATTTTCCGCCACGCAGAAGGGTCTTTTCCAAGGCTGTCGCAGGGAGGAGACTTGAGCCTTGCCCCAGGTGGGCGTTCTGGCCACCAGGTGAAAGGGTGCATCTCCACGCGCGAGTGGGAGCGGCACGCACGCCGCCGTCTTCTCTGGCTGGAACTAGCTACGTCAGTGTTTCTTAAGCTGTGTTCTGCGGCACATTGGTGTGCTGCGAGGCAGTCGGAGGTGTGCCACGGAGAACGGAATTAAAAATGGCCGCCCTTAAAGGGGCAGGCACCTTTTTTTTTTCTTTGCTCAATAACTTTCTTTGAACAAACGCTTTGTCCCCTATTCTACCTAAAACAGGGGCAGGCAAGAGGCAGCCAGGGAGCCGGATGTGGCTTGCCAAGCTGGGACCCTAAAGCACAGCGCAGCGATGCCGCTTTAAATGTGGCTGCTCTGGTCTGGGAGCGAGGAGGGAGGCTTTGTGCCCTGTTCCGCCCCCCCAGCAAAATATTTCCACTCCCATTGGCCAGTTTCTGACCAATAGCAGCTGAGATATTTTGCTGGCAGCAGGAGCAGCCAATGAAGCCTCCTCCTTTCTTCCCTCCTGTCATAATCAGGAGTGCTGACCAGCACCTGGTGACTAAGGGGTTAACTCATGTACCTAGCGAAGGTGTCGGGCACTCAGCCAATAACAATGCAGGTAGGAATTTCAAACTGGGACAAGGAGGTTTTTTTCGCTCTTTTCTTTGTTTGATATCAGAGCAGCTTCTCCCAGGAATCAAGGGAGATGGGAGATGGGTTCTCTTGCCAAGAATGGACTTGAAATGTGTAAGTAGGGAAAAGTTTAGCTAGTCCGTCCAGGCTTATTGTTTTCCTTGTTTGGGGATTTGGAAATCATGGCTGAGCTGGCGAATTGGTTTTTTTTCCTCTTTTGTAATTAAGCCTTACAGCACAAGGGTTTTTCCCAGAGTATGTATATCAGATGGTGGCTCTTTCCACCTAGCCAAGCTACTGTGCTTGCACTTGTAGTTTTGTTTTGATAATAAAAGACTGGGGTTTTTTCCTAATTAACCAGTATTGGTTGATGGTTGTGTCCCTAGGACTTAGTGCCTAGTTCCAAGGACAGAGTCCACTGTTGTCTATGGATTCCCTGTTTTTCCCAACTCCTAGCAAAACGGAGCTTGGGGTGGAGGGAAGAGCTTTACCTTAGGGAGGGGGTTTCCCAAGTGACCTCTTCCCTGATTTTCTTGGAATTACTTGGGTGATGGCAGCGGGTCCCCCAGAATCTGGGTATTAGGATTTTGGGGGGAAGTTTTTGTAGCAGAGCCCGTAGAGACAGGTTTTGGAGTGCTCTTGTGGGTCCCCAACTTCTGCATTGAGCGTGTCTGAGTGGGGAACAGCCTTGACAACCCCCCACCCGGAGTAGGGCCACGTGGAACAGCCTGGGACTGCAGCCTTCAGGTTCTTGCAGGGCTGCTGGCTGGGAGCTGCCTAGGTAAGCGCCTCCCAGCCAGAGCCTGCTTCTGGCACCCCACCCCTTCTCTCCCGCCCAACTACCTGCCCCAGGCCACCACCCAAAACTTCTGTGCCTCTTTCTGTCAGGTCACAACTCCCTCCCACACCCTGCACCTTCTCCTACACCCTTCCCCCAGGCCAGAATCCTCTCCTGCACCCAAACCCCCTCCCTGACCCTGCACATCATTTCTCTGCCCCAAGTCATTACCCAAACCCTCTGCACCCCCTTTACCCAGGTCACACCTCCCTCCCAGACCCTGCACCTCCTAGAGCCCCTCCCTCAGGCCAGAATCCTCTCCTGCACCCATACTCCCTCTCTGCCCTGCACCCCATTCCGTTGCCCCAAGCCATCACCCAAACCCTCTGCACCCCCTTTGCCCAGGCCACACCTCCCTCCAGAGCCTGCACCCTCTCCTGCAGCCCCTCCCTCAGGCCAGAATCCTCTCCTCCACCCGTACCCCCTCCTGGACTCTGCACCCCAAACCCTTTCCCCAAATCACAACCCCCTCCTTCACCCAAACGCCCTTTCAGACTCCACACCCCCTTCCTGTTCTCCAAGCTCCCTTCTGCTCCCAGCCTCTGTCCCAGACCCCACCCCTCTCGGCAGAAACGTGGCCCTTGAGCACTTGCCAAAATCTTGGAGTGGCCCCCCGTTAATAATGATTGTCCACCCCGGCTCAGAACCGTCAGCTCCCTCCCACAGGCCGCCACCCCTGGAGCTGGGGGCAGGGCCCACGGGGACACGGCTACCCTACGACCGCAAGTCAACCCGCCAGAGGTCGGCACGGCCCCATTACTGCGGTGCCCGATGCCCACGTGCCCTGTCTGCTGCTGCCAATCGGACGCGGTGCGTTTTCCAAATCCAGGCAAATGCGGGGGTGGCAAAATTGTCCCACTTGCTCCCTTGCCCCCTCCCCCAACGTATGGACACGGCAGGACGTTTGGATGGGTCAGGGTCCGCCCCACAGAGCAGCCCCATAGTCCTGCAGGGGTCAGGCCGAACCTTCCCGAGCGGAGAGTCGTTGAAACAGGGGGAGGGCAGGAATCCAATCTGCGATCACTAGGGGCAAACCCCCCAAAGCTCATTCACATCGCGGGGCAGTACCACGCAGAGCACAGCCGAAAGGAACCCTCGGCGCACGGGATCGGGGCAGGGAAGGGGTGCGAGGGAGAAGTGTGAGGCGCATCCTCAGGCCTGGGTCCTGCCCCCAAGCTGGAGCAGCTGGCCGACGGCCCCCTCCTGCGGGACGGGGCTCCCCTGCCCTCCGCTCCCCTGCCCTCCCCCTGCACTGGTGCCTGCCTCTGGGCCAACGCGGCTTACCAGGATGCCTTGCAGCTCCATGACGGCGCTCTGGCGTTTGCTGGCGGCCGCGGAGCGATCCTGAGAGGGGAGAGCTCTTGAGGGAGGATCCTGGTGCTTTCCCTTCCGCCCCCCAGCACCCGGGGGGCTCCTATCCCAGTGGCCTGGGGTCTTGGCCTCTCTCCGGAGCCTGCCAGCTAGGGCTGGGCAGAGCGAGGCATTCAGTGACAGACCCCTGCCCTGGGAAACCCCCTCTCATGTCACCCGGGCAGTTGCCAGCTGGGAAAGAGCTTGTCCCTCTATCTGCCCCAGGTGGCGATTCCCGTGGGCAGCGAGTGGGGGCGAGGGAAGGCATTGTCTTCCCAAAACTGCCTGCAGTCCTCAGCCACCCAGGAGGGGTTGGGGCTGGGCCATGCAGCAGCCTCAGCTGGGATTGGGCGGGGCTTGACTAGGGAGGTAGTTGAAGGGGTGTGGCCTGGAAGGAAAGGGGCGGGGCTTCAGGGCAAAGGGGCGGGGCTTTGGTTTGCCTTCACCCCATGCTCATGGGCGCCTCACTGCTGTGCTAGAGCCGTAGGCTCCACAGCCTGCGCCCCGAACCAACACTGGTCGGCTCTGGCACCCTCCAGATCAACAGGCCCCCTCACCCATCCTCCTGTTTCCCCCCAAGAGCCAGCCAACTGCCCTTACCCCCCACGCTGGCTCAGGACCCCGGCCTGAGCCACCCCCCCAAACTGGGTCTCTGCATGCTGGGATGCTTCCTGGGACCAGCGCCACGGACATGGGGGTGCCAGCTGTGTCTGCAGGAACCCAAGGCTGGGGCTGCTGTTTACCTGGGACACCGCACCTGGGCCCTTGCGGGCTGGTCGCAGGACCACCCCGCTCTTGATCCGGGCCATCATCTCGTCCACCGCCCGAGCTTTAATGTCGTCAGTCGCAGTGTCCCCTGCACACAGAGGAAGGCTGAAGTTTAATAGGATTTGTATTGCCAGGGTCTGCGAGCCCCAGGCATGGCCCAGGCCCCTGGCACGCTAGGCGCTGTTCAAAATGGGGATTCCCTTGCCCCAAGGGGCTAACAGTCTAAGACGGAGACAGACACGGGAGAGCACAAGGAAACCAGGAGGCAGCAGAGGGACCATTCTCCAGTGTTGTGCAGACACCACAGCAAAGGAGCGTTCTGCATCCTAGAACCCCAGGGCTGGCAGAGACCCCAGGAGTCATCGAGTCCAGCCCCCTGCCCAGAGCAGGACCGACCCAACTCAATCAGCCCAGCCAGGGCTTGGTCCAGCTGGGACTTAAACACCTCTAGGGATGGAGATTCCACCCCCTCCCTAGGGAACCCAGCCCAGGGCTTCCCCACCCGCCTAGGGAAAGAGTTT